TATCGCAGCCTGTCCAGCGCCGACGTAGTGTGGGCAGGGGCGGCGTGCTCGACGGGCAGGAGGCCGAAGCCAGCGCGAGAACAGCTCCCAACCCCCACGAGGCGCACGGGCGGAAGGAGACCGATGCAGTGGGAAGCGGAGAGGCAAGCTTGGGGGGGGGGCGTCGGGCTCGACGGGCAGGAGGCCAAATCAGGCGCGAGAACAGCTCCCGACCCCCACGAGGCGCGCGGGTGGAAGGAGACCGATGCAGCGGGAAGTGGAGAGGCAAGCCAGCGGGGGGGGGGCGTCGGGATCCGCGCAGGCCCGAGCACAACCGGTGACGCGGGACACCGGTGCGGCCTCCTCCCCATCTCGGCCGAGCCCCAGAGGCGAGCACTTTTGGGCTGCCAGACGAGCCCCTCCGCCTGCTCCCATGCCAACCCGACGCCGTCAGGGCAGGAGGGGGCCACCTCAGGGAGGGAGGGGACCACCTCAGGGAGGGAGCGAACACTTTTGGGCTGCCAGACGAGCCCCTCCGCCTGCTCCCATGCCAACCCGACGCCGTCAGGGCAGGAGGGGGCCACCTCGAGGAGGGAGGCCTCGAGCTGGCCCCCGCAGCACCTCGCGGGCCGATCGGCGACGGGCCCCCCGATGGCGGCGCCGCATCCTCGTGGGCGGGCTGGGCTCTCGGGCCACATGTCGGCGATCCGTGGGCGATGGCGCCAATAATTTGTTACGACTCGCCATTGGGCGGAAGGGGGGGAGGAGGAGGAGGGGAGGAGGAGGAGGAGGAGGAGGAGGAGGAGGAGGAGGAGGGAGGAGGAGGAGGAGGAGGGAGGAGAGGGGGAGGAGGAGGAGGAGGAGGGGAGGAGGAGGAGGAGGAGGAGGAGGAGGAGGAGGAGCAGGAGTAGGAGGAGGAGGAGGAGGAGGAGAAGAAGGAGGAGCAGGAGTAGGCGGAGGAGGAGGAAGAGGAAGAGGAGAGGGGGGTCTGGCGCCGGACCTCTGCTTAATGCGACTGCTTGCAGCAGCGCGTCCTGTCGGGGAGACTCCACCTGCTCGAAACAGGCGCCAAGAACAGCCAAGATCTACCCCAGGTGGGGGGGAGGGAGGGAGGGGGGAGGGCCCCTCGCCGATCGGCAGAACCATGAATCATAAAACGATCACCTCACGATTGGCGCCGGCGCCGGCTGGGAATGAGCCATGCCTGCGCAATCCCCAGACGGCGCCCGGAGCAAATCGCACGATGGCCGGCCCCGTCGCCGCCCCCAACTCCCCCCCCCTCCCCCCCGTCACGCCCGATGTCGCCAGGGGGTGAAAGATTAACGGGCGAAGAGCGGTGTAAGATGAACTGTTTCGCTGTCGGGGGCGCACGTCCCAGGGCGGCTGGAAAGTTTATACCCTCACGGTGGCACGTCAAGGTAGAAACCTTCCAGCCGCCCTGGGGCAGCGCCCCCAGCGACGGAACAGCTTATTTTATACCGTTCTTCGCCCGCTAAAAAAACGCGTCCTCCCCTCGGCTACACGCAGGAGTGACCCTGGGCAAGAGTGACCCTTGGTGCGCACCCTTTTGGGGGCCGCGGGGGGGGCCAAACGCAATCGCGCAAGACGCCACTATTGCATCGCGTTCGGCGATCGGGGGACCCCTTTGGGCTCGCACCAAAGGTCACTCCGGCGAAAGGTCACTCTTACGTCTAGTCGAGAATCTCAGCTCTAGGCGAAGACAGCCCCGGCATGCTGCAGCAACGGGGCTCGAGCAGTCTGGCCCGAACTGCCCAGAGGCGTGGCGCTCGCCGAGCTGCGGTGCAAACCGCAAACGCACAGTACGTATACAATTACACACGTAGGCTGCACACACAGACGCACATACATTATACACCATACACATACATGTACAAGATCGCTGCGTATAGAAAAGACGGCTAAGACGCTGAAACAAGCAACGTTTCGGGCTTATGAGGGGCTATGGTTTTCGGGCCGCTCCTTAGATCTAGGTCGGGACACCTGTTCGTTGCCGAGGCTAGCCGTGTCCAAAAAAAGCCCAATCGCTTTTTTTTTCGGCGTTCCAACTTGTAGCAAGATGAAAGATAAATGTATGGCAATAGTGATGCGCCCGCCGGCGGGCAAGATCTCGCGTTTCGTCGGCCACCGTTCGGGCAAGACTGCCATCCTTGAGTGCATGTCGCCGCCGGCTCGCCCGGCGCGGGCTTCGCCCGGCAGACTGGGAGAAACTATCTTAAACCATGTGTGCACAGAGATTGGGCCCCACGGTCTGCCAGCGACTCAGCGAGCTCCCGAAGCCTGCTACAGTAGGGCTGACGGGTCATCGCTGGACGCCATCCTCATACCCCTGCCCCATTCTTCTGATACTCCTCCTGCTCCTCCTCCTCCTCCTCCTGCTCCTCATCCTCCTCCTCCTCCTCCTCCTCCTCTCCTCCTCTCCTCCCTCCTCCTCCTCACCTCCTCCTCCTCCTCCTCCTCCTCATCCTCCTCCTCTCCTCCTCCTCCTCCTCCTCTTCCTCTACCTCCTCCTCCTCCTCCTCCTCCTCCTCCTCCTCCACCTCCTCCTCCTCCTCCTCCTCCTCCTCCTCCTCCTCTTTCTCCTCCTCCTTCTCCTGCTCCTCCTCCTGCTCCATCCCGTTCATCATTCGCCACCGTGCCCTTGAGGCACCAGCTGGAGCGTCCTCAAGGTCCTTCGCCTAATCCCTCTAGCCCCAAGCCTGAATACGGAAGCTTCTCGATAGGGCACCGGACCCCAAACTCACAGATCTTCCAGGGCGCGTCGCGTGACCCCCGGGGTTCCCCGCGTGCCCCCTGGGGTGTGAGGGGAGCCGCCGCATGATCGGTCCAAGACCGTCTCAAGACGGCCCAAGATGCCTCCGAGACGCTCCAAGAGGCTTCCCAAAAGGGCCACAAGAGGCAACCATCATTGATTACCCGTTGGTAGTTTCAATGACTTTGGCATTATCGCTGTTTCGGCAACCCGACGCTCCAAGACAGCTCAAGAAGCTTCCAAGATCGCCTCAAGACGGCCCCGAGAACGCCCCAGAGAGCCCGAAGACGATATAGGAAGCCTCCAAGACGGCCCCAGAGGCCTCCACGACGGCTTCAAGAGGGGTTCAGGGGGGGGACCCGAACGGACATTCGGAGCCCTCGGCCTCGAGAGGCCCCCTGGAGGCCCCGAGAGGCCCCAAGGAGGCCCCCAGATGCCCCCAAGAGGCCAGCAGGAAGCCTCACGAGGCCCCCAAGAGGCTCCCAAGATGCCCCCAAGAGGCCTGCAAGAGGCACACATCATTGATTCTCCTATGACAGTTTCAATGAGTTTGGCGTTATCGCTGTTTCGGCTTCCCGACGCTCCAAGACAGCTTAAGCCTCCAAGATCGCATCAAGGCGGCCCCGAGAACGCCCCAGAGAGCTCGAAGACGATCTAGGAGACCTCCAAGACGGCCCAAGAGGCCTCCACGACGGCTTCAAGAGGAGGCCCAGGCGGGGAACCCGAACGGACATTTCGAGCCCTCGGCCCCCCAGGGAGCCCCACGAGGCCCCCAAGAGGCCCCCAAGATGCCCCCGAGAGGCCTCCAAGCGACCAAGTGGCCCCAACATTGCCCCCAAGAGGCCCTCGAGAGCGCTCCGAAGCAATCCCAAGAAACATCCCTGAAGACTCTGACCCACAATCCAGGCACGGTGGCGGGATGGGCCGAAGGCCATTGAATCAACCATTCATCCCTGTCGCATCCCCTGACGTGTCAGTCAGGCGGGCCCAACATTTCGCCTGAGACTGCCTCATCAGTGCTGGCCCTGACGCTTGAAACCTGCAACCGCATCACGGAAAAAAGGGCCCTTTTCAACATGTGGCTCCCGACATAGCGCAGCGCACATCCGTGGCCAACAAATTGCAAGACCTTCACGGATGGACGGCGGTTCCTCTGTCAAAAGGTGTCGCTCGCTGAGGCGACGCGCGCATTCGTTCTTGAACGAAGAATTGACCATCGCTCGGACGTCCATGTCTTGTGTTTGTTTAGGTTTTGTGCGTTTTTTTTTTTTTGCGAAATGATCAAGGATGCTCCTCGATGGTCCTCGCCGAAGGAAACATGCACACGTCCGAGCGATGCCAAGAGAACTGGTGGTGCTCAAAAGGTGGCTCTAGCCGAAACGCTGTGCCCATTCGTTGCAAGAGTCCGGCAGCTGTACGGCTGGAGTGCGGTCCCTTCACAAAATCATTGTTCTCGCCTTCGCACCGCGCACGGTCGTCTTAAGCGTTCGCAGCAGCTTCAAAACTATGCAGGACAAGTGGTTTTCAAAATGCGGGAATCGCCTTAGCGCCCCACGCATTCGTCGTAAAAGGGACAGCTTCGAGCATGGAGGATGGCTCCTGTTTGCACTATAATGATTGCCCCAGCGTCACGCACATTTGTCCCGAACGTGTGCGATAGTTTCATAGGTTCGCACGGTTCCAACATATTTTAATGATGTTCTGACACGATCCAAGGTTGTTCATACGTGGCAGTCACGTTGACATCCCAAGGATGGTGCTATGATGCGGTTCAGGAGTGTCCAGACTTTAACAGACACGTTGGTTCGCGGTGTTGAAGTCCTACGAGCTGTGTTCTGGCACAAACTGTTAGTACGCAACAGTCACGATGATCTGTGGGGTTTAAAGCCCAGGCCTTGTGATTTTGCACGGTCGAATATTCTCAAGCGGCTGTCTTTTGATGGGTAACTTCCCGCAGTGGAGTTGAATTCTTGCACGGACCCATGAAGAGGGGCTCGCAGGGAGGGTCGATAGCAACATCGTCGATGCGTTGTGGGTTTGCACTGGTCCTCCTCCTCCTTCTCGATAATCGTTATCTCCCTCTCCTCATTTTGCTCGGAAGCGCTTTGGCTTCACAGTGGCAGCGGCGGCAGCGCCCTCCCCCCCCCCTCAACAGCGCCCTGGGGCCCAGGAGCGGCCCCTGGAGCCCCGGAGTCGAAGAGGAACGCCTGGATCTTCTTCTTGGTTTTTCCGCCGAGCACAAGAATCTGGAGGCCGTGAACGTCGAAAACTACACCAGTGATTGGCGCCCTCCCTCATGATCCGCGTCGCCGCCGAACGCTCTGCCTGGGGTGCCGAACCAGAGACCGCCGAGGGGCCGCCGAGGGGCCGCCGAGGGCCGTCGAAGGCCGTCGCCGTCGCCGTCGCCGTCGCCGTCGCCGTCGTCGTCGTCGTCGCCGCCGTCGTCGTCGTTGTCGTCGCCGTCGTCGTCGTCGTCGCCGAGGTAGTCCGGCGCGCGCGCGCGCGTGCGCCTGCTTCGTGAGGAGCCCAGCCTTCCGGGGGACTCCAACGGACCAGCTCACTGGTCCTGGTCGGGCCGACCCTTGGCCCGAGGGACACACCGATCCTGGGCCCAAGATCGGCTGGGCCGGGATCAATGAGGTGGTCGGTGCCTGACGTGCGCGGATCTGTTTTTTGTCGGTCCGCGTCCCTGGAGGTCCTGAACGCTTCCTTGGGGGGCGTTTTTCGTCCCCGGTCAATGTTTGATGGTCCCGGGGCCCGAAAGCTGACCCCGAGGTCCGAAATCGAAGAACAATACCTGGATTGGAAATTTCATATCGTCGGAGATTGGCTACCTACCTAGCAACCCCCACCCAACCCGAAATCGCCGTTGGGCCTGTTGACTTTCAGCAGGGGGTATTCTGGAGCACTGAGAAATATGGAGCCCGAGTACACCCCAACCAGATACTCGGACAAGTCTGTGGCCATCGGGTTGGGTGAGGGTCATCTGGTAAGCAGAGATCCGAGGTCTTGTTTGTTCAATACGCAGTCCCCGTCAGTCTCGACCCACTCTCGGGGACTGGCTCTTCCTCCCGGATCAATGTTTGACGGTCCCATGGCTGGCCGAGGGCCCTAGAGGCCCAAAGCTGTGAAAACCTCGGCCTTGTTCCCAACCATCCTGTGGTGTTGGGTCTTCGTTTTGAAGAGACGGCGCCGCGCGTTTCCTCCTCCTCTCCTCTCCTCCTCCTCCCCCCTCCTCCCTCCTCCCGTCATTGCCTCTGCCATCCGCATGTCTCTGTTTCGGCACACCCATTTTCACGTTTCCTAGCACTCAGGGGTTCATACTTCTCCTCTGAAGCACTGGGCCTGGATGGATGCTTCGGTGCACCACGCTTCGTGGCCCCCCATATGGAGATCCACCCAGGGTCCAAATGCTAGCGTCCACCTGCGCAAACCGCACCCATTTTGGCACACCCGCTACACGTTTCGCGAACCCAGAGGAAACTCCACCGACGGCCCCAGTGGTTGCGTTCGCACACGCCCACCGCACACATGTTGGTACATCACTCACACGTCCAGTGGCTGCGTTCGCACGCGCCCACCGCACCCATTTTGGCACACCCCTCACACGCTTCGCGAACCCAAAGGGGGCTCCACCGACGGCCCCCGTGGCTGCGTTCGCGTGCGCCCGCCGCAACCATTTCGGCACACCCAACACACGTACCGTGGCCTTACACGGAGCTCCTCCGCATGCGGTGCACACAACGCCGCTGCTCACGGCTTCATCTGGTGGGGTCCTTCGCCAGGCGAAATGCTTCATTGCTTCCAATCAAATGCGTAGCATCTGTGGGGAAGAAACACACTGTGGAAAAAACACCCACTGTCTGTGGGAACAACACACACTGTGGGAAAACAAAAAAACACACAGTCTGTGGGAAAAGTGTGTTTTTTGTTGTGTGTGTGTGTGGGTTGTGTATGGTGTTTGTGTGTGTATGCGTATGTGTGTGTTGTGTGTGTGTGTGTGTGAATGTGTGTGTGTGTGTGTGTGTTTTGTGTGTGTTTCTGTTCCCACGGGAGCCTCGTCGTCTTCGGCGTCCGAGTCCGAGGTGTGGCTGGAGCGGTCCCCCTCCTCGGCCAGGATGCGCTTCGCCCGGGCGAGCTCTTCCTGCGGGCGGGGCGGGAGCCGCCGCCGCCCCTCCGCCAGAGCTGCGCCTGCCGGCCTGCCGCCTGCCCTGACCTCGGGCTGCCAGGTCGAGGCTCCCCTCCTTCTGCGGGCATCGCTGGTCCGATCCTCCTCCTCCTCCTCCTCCTCCTCCTCCCTCCTCTCCTCCTCCTCCTCCTCCCTCCTCCTCCTCCTCTCCTCCCTCCTCCTTCTCCTCCTCCTCTCCTCCTCCTCCTCTCTCCTCCTCCTCCTCCTCCTCCTCCTCCTCCTCCCTCTCTCCACACGTCCTCCTATCCTCCCTGGCGTGGCCTGTGCCCCACTGGCCGATCTCCCCGCTGTACATAAAGGGGGTGGAGGCTGTGCCCTTCGGGCTTCGAAGGGCTCCTCCCGGACTGGAGGGGGGATGGTGGGGCCGCGATGCCGCGGCCCTGTGGGGATGGGGATACGCCAAACGACGCCGAGCCCGAGGCAGACGTCCGCCCGGGGGGTCTTCCTGGAGCCGCACGTGTTCCAAGCAATCCTGTGGCATTGGGCCCTCGCTTGGAAGAGGCAGCGCCCCGCGTTCCTTCCTTCCCGCTGCCCCCATCCCTCCTCCCATCTCTGACCCCGCCCTGCGCATGTCCATTTCGGCACCTGCCTCTGGGAATTATTCTGGGGCCTCGGGAGAAGACTGGAGAAGAGAAGAGACGGGAGGAGCGGGGACGGGGTGCAGATGACCGCGGGAAGAAGAGGCACGTCGTGGAACGTAGGCTCTTCCTCGCTCGACCGGCGAGGATCACGCCTCTCACGTCGAGGTTAGATCGGGGCGAGTCAAGAGAAGATCGACCTACGCCCAGACATATCCACGGACATCTGGAGCAAACCGTGGACGCTCCAGCGCGAGCCGAGGGCTGACACAAGTCGCTGACTACACAGAAACGAACAGGGGCTGCCAGGGTTAAGTCGGGCGTGTCCCCCTACAGGGGGATTTTCGATGAAAATAAAAAAGTACCCCCAAACATATCCCAAAGAGGTCAGAAAATATTCAAAAAATAGTCCCCAGACTATTTTTGGACTATTTGTTGACTATTGTTTGACTCTTTTTGGGTTTTTTTATTTTTCGTAGAAAATCCCCCTGTAGGGGGACACGCCCGACTTAAGACTACACATAAGCGAAGAGGGGGTGCCAGGGGCGTGGGGAGACGCCAGGGAGGTCCCAGCCCAGCACTCCAATGGCAACAACAGGAGGCAAACAACCCTACCTGTATGTCAGGCGTGTCCCCCTACAGGGGGACTTTCGAGGAAAAATCAAAATACCCCCAAAATATTCAAAAAAGATTAAGAAGTACTCAAGAAATAGTCCTCAGACTTATTTTTTGATTATGTCTTGATTATTTCTTTGGTATTTTTTATTTTTCGTCGAAAATCTCCCTGTAGGGGGACAGGCCCGACTTAAACCGACCTCGCTTTTGACCACCCTCGCTTCCAAGAGATACCCAGCGATGCCAAGTTACGGCCTGTACTGGTCAGGCCGCTTGACCGGGAGGCGCGTGGTGTGACCTGGTTTTGCCTGGAAGCGACAGCGAGGTATAGGCAATCCACGCTCTGAAGCAAGGCCCTCGATGCGGACGGCCTGCCGCAACCAGAGGGTTGGAAAGCTTCTCAAAGACTGCGCGGCGGACGGGGGAGGGGAGGGGTGGGGCGAGAAGAGGGAGAGGAAGAGATGCGGAGAGGAGGGGGAGAGGGAGGGGAGGGGAGGGGAGGGGGAGGGGAGGGGAGGGGAGGGGAGGGGTGGGGCGAGAAGAGGGCGAGAAGAGGGAGGGGAGAGGGAGGGGAGGGGAGGGGAGGGGAGGGGAGGGGCGCGAAGAGGGCGAGGAAGAGATGCGTACAGCGGGGCCCCTGAGCGACGGGCGCCGCGACCTCCTCCGCACCCGACGCTTTTTTGCCGGATGTCGGCCCCCCCGGCCCTCACAGATCGATCCGGCCCGAGATACTCAGCAGAAACAGTGGGTCCAGAGGTCTGGTGTTAAGTCGGGCGTGTCCCCCTACAGGGGGATTTTCGACGAAAAATCAAAAGTAACCAAAAATATTAAAAACATAATCCAAAAATAGTCTGGGGGCTATTTTTGGAATATTTGTGTTCTTTTTGGGGTATTTCTGTGTTTTTGTATGTTTTTCGTTGAAAATAGCCCCTGTAGGGGGACACGCCCGACTTAACTGTGGTCGCGATGTTCAATGATTTTGCATATGTTCTGCGACGCCGGATCTCAGAGGGCAACGGGGTGCTGGGGGCGGCTGGAGCGCTTAAGTTTCGGTATCCGACACAGAACCGAAGAGTGGGGATGAGGAGTGGGGGGAGAAGGGGGCAGAGAAGGGTGTGGAGGACGAGTGGAAGCGAGGGAACGGCGGGGGGGGGGGGGGGGCAGGGATGGGGGAGGCAGGGGGAGGGACCCAGACCTCTGATGTCGAGATTTGCTCCATGCGGGGCCCCCAGACCCCTCGGCCCTTTCCTGGGGACCACTTTTTCGTCCCGTCCGAGCTGTTATTTGGTGGTCCGAGGGCCCAGCTTCTGTGGTGCAAACTATGTCGCGCACACTCTGTGTGGCTTAGGCTGTGTGGTGTCATCCATGTGGTTCATGATATGTGGTGTGAGCGAACTGGTGCAAGCTGCGTGGTACAAACCTGCGTGGCGCAAGCTACGTCGTGCATCACACTCGGTGCTGGCCAGATCCGCCCCCGAGGCGCCCGCAAGCGGGCGCCGGGCGAAACCTCGGCTGGCCCATAATAAGCTGGCACCAGGCGGAGCCACGAGCGGCTCGCTATCCCGGGTCAGCCAGAGAGGGTCTTCGCAGGATCCTGCAGGATCCGGTGCCCTGGCTGACCCCCGTTTGCACTGACCCCCGTCTCCCAGGCCCCGACCTCGGCCGACGCATCCAACTCCTGGGGAGGAAGCGATAAGCCCTGAATGCAAGAACTGTTCGGCGAGAAAGTAAGAAGGATAAGGACCCCCAAGTGGAAGAACTGCTTTGAAGATTATGGCTACACGGGGGGGGGGGAAAGCAGCCTAGGGAGAAGCAGCACATCGCGAAGGAGGGATCGGAAGGCACGGCGGGGGATGGAGACGAGCTCCTCCTCATCCGTCGCCCTCCCCCGCCTTCGGCTTCCCGGGGCCTTCAGAAAACAGTCTGCGATGAACAAGCGGTTCCCCAGCAAGGGGCCGAGAACTCCGAGGCCGAGTTCAAAAGGTCGTCCACCTGCTGCGGACAGGGGGCCCGAAATACCAGGTCTCTGTGGGCGGGGCCAGCCCGAAGTCTGCGGCCGCAGCAGGCCAGTTCTGCTGCACTGCCCGTGAAGTTAACTCGGGCTAACACGCATAGGGCATAGGGGTCGCTGGTTCCTCCTCCCGTTCTCTCGCCCTCGCCCTCCCCTCCCCCCCCCCCCCTCCAACCTCTCCTCCCGCACCCACCTCCTCCCGCTCTTCCCCTTCTCCTCCACCCCTTCCCTCTCCATCCCCTCCTCCCCCTCACTGCCTTCTCTTCTTGGCCACAACCCCCCGAATTTAATCTCAGAGATGAGCATCACACACTGTCCACGATGGGCCCCGGACAGCAAAGAGGAGGGAGAAGGAGAACGAGGAGAATGAGGAAAATATTGATGAGACGAACAGCAGCGATAACAACAAACAGTAGGAAACAGAGAATGAGGACGAGGAGGTCGTGTGTCACGGGCTACTTTCCGAGCGGTCTCGAGCCATACCTCCTTGTCACGGTTCTGTAAAACCCCTCGGCGCGTGTCGGTGGGCACGTCCTTGTCCTTGCGGGCATTGAACTTCTTTGCGAACTTCTCGGAGATTCGCAGCTCACCTCCTCCAGGCAAACAAACACAAGTTCTGGGACCACCACCGGTTCCTCTCATTGAGCCACCTCCTCAGCAAACTGCGTTTACTCGTCTGTCAGCCAGACTGAAGTTTGTGAGTTCCCTTGATGCCATCTCACCCTCCGCAACTGTGCTCATTATAATGAACATCCGCCTGCCTCCCCATGCCATATGCCTCGCACCGAACACACCGATACATGCAACCGTAATATGCTATGTTGGATGTACTTGTGCTGGCTAAACTTGATGTTGGTGCTGGTGTCGGTGCCGATGTCCTTTCATCCCGGGTTGGATTTCTGTGCCAGCAGCTGCCCGCCGCTCTGTCTGACTGCCTGAATGCCCCACCCAGGAGTGGGCAGGGACTGCTGCCCGTCTTCGCTCCTCTTGCTCGATCGCCCTCCCTCCTCAATGCCTCGAGTAGGAGATCGACTACAGAATGGATCCAACATTGGCTTCCTCATCGGTTTTCTTTATCGAGTCGACGGTTGAACATGTGCAACATGCTCCTAGGCCTACGAGCATCATGCGTATGTCCTCGCCGAGTCGGCGAGCAAGAATCACTTCTGGGCACACCGACTCTGCAGTCGATCCCTACCCAATCAGCACGGGGGAAGCGGGTGAGGGGAACGGTCCCTCGCCATCGCTCGGACGTCCATTTCCAATGCATTTTTCGGTTTCGTGCGTGTTTGTTTGTGTTGCTCGATGGTCCAGAATTGTCCTCAATGGCTCTCGCCGCGAGAAAATGCACACGTCCGAGCGATGCCAGGGGTCCTGGAGCCTGGGGCCTTCCCCCCGGACGGAAAAACACACCCTGGGACCCGCTTCCCTCAGGACCCGCTTCCCCCATGGCGACTCGGGTGCCACTGGTTCCAGGATGGGGTCCCTAGGGACGGGGACCTGGGACCCGAGGATAGGAAAGGATCCAAAGGTTGGTGTATGCGATGTGAGGCACCTCGCCCTTAATGTACACAAGGACAGAAGAGGAAGCGGGCCAAAAGGAAGGTGGACCCGCTCGCAAGTTGCCTCGCTTGTACAGTTCTGTACTTGACGTACTCATCAGGCGGCGTCAGAACTTCGGACCCCATCCCTCACGACCCCATCTCTGCCCCGCCGAGTGCTCCTCGATGCAGGAGCTGCCCCCCCCCGACTCGATGCTCCCCCGGCCTCCTGGGGCCTCCGGCGGCCGACGGGGGCGACCCCTGCAAGGCACGGGCGGACCTGGGCCGGAAGGACCTCCTTCAAGAACGTTCGAGGGTACCCCCCCAGGATATGCACAAGCAGAGGCCTCCTGAATGGGGCCCCAGTAGATGGGTCGCAGGATCGCGCCGCATCGCCAATGCATCGCCGACGCATCGGCGACGCATCGGCGATGCACTGGCGACGTCGGCGATGCATCGGCGACGTGGGCGCGGAGAGCATCGGGCTCCGCATCGAGCCGCATCGCCGATGCATCGGCGATGCGGCGCGAACCTCCGACCCCATCTGCTCGGACTCCATGTGAGAGGCCTAGAACAAGAACCTCCAACAAACACGAAGAGCATTCGAGCACCCTCCCCGAACCGACCTTGATCTCTTATACCTCGGCCCGACCGTATCAAGGACTCGGCGAACACCTACCGACGTTGTCAGGGGTTCAAGTAGGCCCTGGGGCGGCCCGGTGGTGGGGGGGCAGGGGCCCCACCACAGCGCGAAGAGCTGGGAGCGCCTCGGGCCAGGAGCTACTCCACGACCTGTGCGAGACATGATTGCACGTCTACGAAACCTGTAGGCATTGATTCGTAGCCTCGACGGGGGAATCAAGTTTGGTGCAAGTCAATTCCGTAGTCGAACCCCCCCAGTCGACAGGTGCTGCTGGCCCAAGACGCCCCCAGCTCTTCGCGCCGTCTTGGGGCCCCTGGGTGCGAGGCCAATTTCTATACACCACCACCGCCCGCAACAGTAATTTACGGCAGAGTGGGCGAGGGGCAGGGTCATGCCAGACGACGCTGTGACGCCACGGTGAAAAGGGACGCGGCGCAGCTCGCAGGTGCCGTGGCATGGTGGTGGTAGTCATATACTGTGCTCCGTAGTCGAACCCCCCCAGTCGACAGGTGCTGCTGGCCCAAGACGCCCCCAGCTCTTCGCGCCGTCTTGGGGCCCCTGGGACCCCCCCCCCCGGGGCCCTCGTGATGTCCGCCGATCCTCCGCGGCGGGTGCTCTAGCGGCCACCTGCCGGAGCCCCCCCCTGGGACGTCCCGGGCCCCCCCCCCCCGGCCAGGGCCCCCTCTTCTGAAGGGGCCCTGGGACGCACAAGTAAAGACGCACAAATAGCAGGAGTCCCCACATTATCCAAATGTGTTCTGGGTTTTTGTCTTCCCCCCAATTCCCATAGTTTTCCATATTTTCCTGGGGGTCGACGATTCATTGTGTCTGTGTGTGTGTGTCTGTGTGTCTGTGTGTCTGTGTGTGTGTGTGTGTTTTGTCCCTCCTGATCTTCGGGCATGTGACGGCATGGGTCCATAGCGCCCGCGGAGCCGGCGCGCGCGTGCCAGAGCCACGGCTCGGGAGGAGCACCCCCTCCCCCCGAGGCGTGAAGCCAGTGCGGCCTAGATCCGGCGACGGGGCGCGTCGGCTCCGCATGGAAGGGGGGCCCCCGTCGCCAGTCCCACGCGCCTCCATCCACGTCTGCGCTCCCACGCCCTCTGTCGACGCACGAAGCTCAGATTCGGCTCCCCCCCCCCAGGGGGGAAGAGTGAGACGGGGCAGGCCTTCTCAGAAGGCGGCGAGGCTTCTCAGAAGCCCCCTGCCCTTCTGTTGACGCAGTAAGCTCAGATTCGGCTCCCCCCCCCCCAGGGGGGATGTGAGACGGGGCAGAGGCCTTCTCAGGAGGCGGCGAGGCTTCTCAGAAGCCCCCTGGCCTGCTGAGAAGACGCCTGCCAAGTGGCGCCAGCCGAACTTTGCCCCTGACCCCCACCGACCATGGATTCTCCCGAATCGAGGGGGGGCCGGGGGTAGGCCTCGGATTCCGCCACGTGTTCAACGCACTCCGAGCCCTACCCCCAGCGCCCATCGAAATGCCCGAATCGTTGATCGGCGAGAAAAAATTCGGATTTGTCCGCGACCCGCGCCTTCGGCGAAGGACTGAACTGCTTCTCAGAAGGCCGTAGGCGCGAGCATGACCGGGGACATTGCAGCGCAGGGATCTGAGGGACCCTCCTCTGCTCGCGGGGGCCGCTCCTGCTGAACCTCGGCGCCGTCGTCGCAGATTGGGGGGCGCATCGGCACTGGCATCGGCGATACAGCCGATGCACTACCAGAAGGAGCGCCACATTTGGCGGCGCGCAGAGGGGGGTGGGGGGAGGGGGGAGGGCTTCTTAGAAGCACCCTGCTTCTTAGGAGGCGCCGGCCTTGTATCTACCGATACGGCCCGCGCCTTCTACGAAGCAGGGGTGCTTCTAAGAAGCCCTCCCACCTCCCCCCACCCCCCTCTGCAAGGGCTCCTAAGTTCGCGCTTCGCGCTGCGCGAAGCGCGAATAACTTCGCGCTCTCGCGCCGCCCCCCAAGGGGGAGAAGAGGAGGACGAGGAGGAGGGGGAGGAGGAAGGAGGACCGCGAAGCGCGAAGCGCGAATAACTTCGCGCCCTCGAGGGAGCCCTTGCCTCTGCGCGTGGCTGACACATGAGAAACGAGTGTGCTCTTCTGACCACGGCGGGTCTCGGCCACGAACCGGATTCCCCCATCTCCATCCCTTAGAGAAACGGCCCGGAAACCCGAGCCCCTCCTGAGCTTCTGTTGGGCGTGTCCCCCTACAGGGGGGTTTTCGACGAACAATGAAAAATATACCAAAAAAGTACACCAAAAAGGTCAAACAATAATGAAACATAGTCCCCAGACTATGTTGGGACAATTGTTTGACTATTCGTGGGGTCTCTTTTATTTTTCGTCGAAAATCCCCCCGTAGGGGGACAGGCCCGACTTCATCCTGAGCCCGAAGTGGTCATTGTTTCAGCGCCTTGACTGTGCATCGCCGGTTGATCGGCGGCAGGCCCCGATAGCGACACCACACGGCTCCGGGCGTGGTGGGCTATCAAGCCCATGTCGGCGATGAGTAGGCGGTTGGGAGTCGATGCGCTCCCCCCCAAGCTTACACCTTCCCTGGCTTTCCCCGAGATCCGACGACGCGGCAAAAGAAACAACACCGTAAGAAATAACAACAGAGGCACGGGACCCCATCTTTCTGCGCCAGGTGTCGAGCCCCATCGACCTGTGAAGTTCCTGGCGCCGGAAGCCTGGCGAGAACGCCCAGGTCGAATGCATTGAGACGCGAGGATCTCAGGGTTGCTCCCATGACGACGATTACCGTCGTCATGGGAGCAACCGTCGTGATGATGGCGACGATCGTGATGACCACGATCGTCGCCATCATCACCATTGAAGACCCCGACGTCATGATCTGCTCCCAACGTCGACCCCCACGAGGTCTCGACCCATGCCCCGAGACCGGCTATCCCCACCCCGAGTCGTGCCTCGACGGCCAGGGGGCCCAGCGAGGGCCCCCAGAGACCGAAGCTTGCGAGCGACCTCTGGCCGTGCTGCTTCACGACGCGAGGGGCAACTGGGGTCCCAGACCCCCTCTCGTTTTTTTTGTGTTTATATATATATATATGTGTATATATATATATATATATATATATATATATAACACGACGGAGGTTTTCTGTAATTTTCGGGCTCCTCGGGCCCTTCCCGGGCCTCGGGAGCGTCAAAAAACGACTCCGGACGAAAAACCGGTCCCCGGGCAGGGGTCCAGGCCTCTGGGGGTCGACGTCGTACAGGACACACGACGTCGGGGGTCTGGGCTGCTCGACGCGCCCCGAGATCCTTCAGCTCAGCGATCTGGCCCCTGAGCGTTCCCATGGCGACTGGGGAAGCGAGGATTACTGAACTGGAGAGTGTCGGTGCTCCGGCACACTGAAATCTACCGCTTCAGCACAGCCGGCCGGTATCATACGGATGCGCGATAAGGATGCAAGGGCCTTGGAAGGCCGATTCGAAGCTTCTCGAGCGGGGCGCCGCCAGCGAAAGTCGCCGTGGATGGACCGAGGAGGCAAGGATGCAGGGGTACCCTTGGGAAGGCTGCCCATCCTCACTATGGGGATGGACTGTTATCCTCGCCTCCCCAGTCGCCATGGAGACGCTCAGGGGCCAGATCGCTGAGCTGAAGGATCTCATGGGGCGTATGCTCGGGGGGGCCGCTCCTTCTCCCTCGGCGTCGTCGTCGCCGCCGAGTAGCTCCACGTCGTCGCCCTTCTCCTGCCCGCCGTCCACCTCCGCCTTGTCGGGGGAGGCGCCGAAGGGCGGCGCGGCGGTGCGCGCAGAGGGGGCGGGGGGTGTCAGGGGGGGGGGGTCGACCCAGAAATGTTCGCGCCGTCGTCCTCCTCCTCCTCCTCCTCCTCCTCCTCCTCCTCCTCCTCCTCCTCGTCCTCATCATCTCCTGTTCCTCCTCCTCCTCCTTCTGCTCCTCCTCCTACTTCTCCTTCCACTCCTCCTCCTCCTCCTCCTCCTCCTCCTCCTCCTCTTCCTCCTCCTCCTCCTTCTCCTCCTCCTCCTCCTCCTCCTCCTCCTCCTTTTCCTCATCCTCCACCGTCTCCTCCTCCTCCTTTTCCTCCTCCTCCTCCTGCTTCAGGTGGCACAAGCCCTTTCGGAGACAGCTCCTCCAGCCACCTTGAGGACCGCACCACCCGAAAGATTCGCGCGGGCCGACCTCTCTCCCCACATGGAGGTCTGGCGGCGGGCCGCGAGCCGCCCGCCATGCCCGCTCCCGCAGGCCTTCTGAGAGTTGTTGCCTACAACCCATGTGCTGCCATCGCCGCATCGCGTCTACTCGACATAGTGGAGGAGATCGGCAGGCGGGATGTGATAGGTCTCGTCGGAACTCAGAAGAAGAGCGGGGGTGAGCAGTGGGAGGAGCGGAAGGAGGTGGGGGAGTACACAGCGATCGAGGCGGGGTACGTTCCAGGCAAATTGGTCACTACAAGCTGTGGGTTGGCCCTTCTCTTGCGGCGCGCACGGCTTCCTGTTCACAGCATTAAGCATGTCTTCGAGGCGCCCAAACAGCTCTGGGGACGCGTTCACGGGGTCTTGTGCGAGCGTGGGGGCATTAGATACGGGTTCGTCGTGATGCATTACCCCCAAGAAAGACTGGAAGCACCGAGAAGCATGTCTACCAAAAAACTGTCCAGGTCATGAACGAGTGGCTCTCAGGTGTAATGGAGTTCATCATGAAAAGACGTGGGGTTCCCATCATATTGACAGACCTGAACGGTGGCCTGCCTTACTCACCTGGGGATGGAGTGTCTGGGGTGTTCGGGCGGGGCAATCCTACACCGAGTTCCGTGGCGCTCAGACCACTCCTGCAGGGATGGGGTATGTGCACGATCGGTAGCCACTGGGACCTTCCCCCCACCTTTGTCGGCAGCAACGGGCAGTCCTACATTGATCACATTCTCGTGCCGCGCACGCTCATCGAGTGCACAGAAAAAGTCGAGGTGTTCGTGAGGTCTGCACGCAGGCTTCAGCTGCGTCGTGGACCCGAGGACCGCGATCACAGACCTGTATCTGCGGCGTTCGTACTGCAAGAGGTGGATTGGACGTCAGCGAGGGTTGCTTGTCCACGGGCAAACCGCGAAACCTTGTATCAATGCGTTCAGGTAGGGTACCAGCGTCAGGAGGTGCTTAGGAAGATGGACGAGGTGGCGGAGAGCAAGGGGGAGGAGTTCGCTGAGGCGCAGAGGACGGAGGATCTAGACACAATGAACACGTTGTTCATCAACACGTTGAATGAAGCCGTTGCCGACGTCTTGCGCAACAACCCCCTCTACACGGAAGATCGCAAAGCACATGCAGCAGAGTTGCGCACACGATTGGTCAGGAGGAGGAGATACAAGGAGGAGCACGCTCATGCCGACGGCGACGCCAGCATTGTGAACGATATGAGCACGCGCATACGCACCATCAGCAAGCAGCTCAAGCACGCAGCGCGTGCGTACTGGGAGCAGATCCAGAAGAGACGGTGTGCCGAAATGACTCAGGCCCTCAAGGACCAAAACGGTTGGTCCAAAAACTCGCGAGACTCATCGCTGGAAAGCGCCGGGGGCCGAGACAGAGAAGGTTTGCGGTGGTGCCAGGATCAGCTGCCTCGGCCAGTGCGTGGGCGCAACGGTTGAAACTTGAACCAGATAGAGGAGGGTGCCGAGCGATCTCCTACACTGTAGAGCAGGCCGTGCAGGATATGAGAGATGAGCGACGGGAGCGCATGGAAGACAGTGCAGCGGCGTTCCTTGCAGCGGAAGACTGGCGGGAGATGTCCACCACCGCATGGAAATTGAAATTCTGGAGATCGTGGCCTGCGTGGAGCGTTCCCCCCGAGTGCCTGCGGCTCGTTTTCTTCCCGCACAAAATGAACGACAGGAAGCCAGTGGTTCTCACGGGCCTTGGGTTTACTCAGGAGCTCCCCAGGATCTCGACCACGCGTGGAATGCTCCAGGCCCTGCTCGCTGGGTGCCGCCGCACTAGTCGCACGCCCGTTCACTGGCACTGTGCGCAAGCTGCTAGGATCCCGAAGTGCAACCGCAAAGTGGAGTGTGACGGTGAGCGGTTGATCATGATGATGTGCACGCTTGGCCGCGCATGCAACGCCTCTCTCCTGCGGAGAAAGAGCCCCCCGTGGACAGCACCGTCGTGGATATATGGAGGGACCAGCGGGAGACGGAGGGAGGAGGCCATGGGCGTCCAGCTCGTGTCGTCGTATCGTCTACAAGCTGGAGGGGTGTCGCACCTGCTTCGATGTCACGATGCCGTCGACGCGTTTTACAGCTTGCATCAGGAAAGCATTCTAGAGGCGGCGAAAGACTGCTACGACCCCCAGGACCACCAGTTCATCACAGATCGGGTCAAGCACAATTTAGTTAACATCTCGGATGAGTCAGGGGACTCCTGGATGCGGGCCACCAGGGGCGTTTTTCCAGGGGACACAGGCGCTACGAAGTTGTTCAACAGGACCTACCTCCCCCCGTTCGCAAGATATGCTGATGCGGCATTAGAGAATCAATGGCACGTCGTCCTGGAGGCGAGTCCTCCGTGGCCAGCGGACGAGGAGCAGGTAGGCATTGCGGGCTTCGTAGATGATATCGCCACCAAGGTTCTAGAGGTTGGGGGGGGGGCAGCATGCAGGAGCAGTTGGAGAGAGGAGGTACCATCGAGAACACAGCGCTCGACACTGGACTTCACGAGATAGGCGCGTCTCAGAATCTAGAGAAAGAGGAAAACGTGTGCTATCTGGCTGGGTGGGGGGCGTATACCACAAACAGGGTCTTTTCCAGGGACAAACATCGGTTAGACGGCAAAGTCGCTCACCACGTCAGGTATCTTGGAGGCCTCCAGTCGTCTACTTTCTCCCCTCTTCCCGAACTTCAGAAGCGACTAAAAGCAAACTTTCACAGCATGGGAGGGTTTTGGTATAGTGATGCCCCGTTCGCCGTCAAGAGGAACGTCGTGAAAGGACTCCTCGTGAACGCCGCGCTGTCAGGACTAGAGGCATGCGCCCATGAAGGAGGCCCCATGCGCGCACGAGACCTCCAGCCACATCAGAGCTACATACTGAGTAAATGTAGAGGCATGCTACAAGGTACAACACGCATGAACGAGCATGACACGCACATCATCACGGATAGCAACCTGCAGGTTCTTCAGAAGTTCAGAATGGCCAGTCTATTCTTGGAGCTTCGGATCAGGCGTCTTAAATGGCTTCAGACAATGGCTGCCCGAAAAGAGTATCATGCACAATACTTGTCGGCAGTCTTTGGCAATATGGTATGCGGTGGGGAGGTGTTTCGTGAGGGCTACGCACATGTGAACAGCAACCCATGGGCGCGACAAGCGCAGCAGGACATCCTGGCGTTGCGCGGGACTGAGAGCGGACAGGAACTCATCACCACCAACAACATACACACCATATTGTTCGACGATCCAGATCAGTTTGTCAAGATAGATGTTGATGAGCTCAGGTCGGTGTTCTACACTGGCCAGGAGGAGGAGAGGAAGAAGGCCAGGGAGAGGGAGGAGGGCAGCTTCGTGTGCCAGGAGGCGTGGGACGATGGTACGATATGCGGGACTTGCTGGCCCAGTAGGAAACAGTTGATCGCGCACATTGCCAATTCTCGAGGGGGGTCGCATGGTCAGTTGCACATCGGCCGGGTACTCACAATAACCAACGTGTGTCCGATTTGTCAGAGCGTCTTCCGCGATCGCGCCAGCGCAGTGCACCACGTGGCGGCAAGCACGTGACGGAATTATTGCCCCAAGAACCGAGGGAGATACGGGGACAAACTGATCGAACCCAAGAGCCTGGGATGCCCTGTCTGCTTCGAGGAACAAGACTCCTTAGCCAGCTATCTCGATCACGCTGCCGCGCACATCAAGCGCCACCTCCCGCCCAGCTTCCACGTTCGAGAGCCTCAGGGGGTTGGCCATGGTGGCGCGAGGGAGTGGCGAGGAGGCCGCAGCCGCGCCCGCAGCCGACTGGATCCTGCGCAAGCAGGAGAGCGGGCCAGACCGTCAGGAGAAGCGCAAGCAGAGGAAGCACAACGGCAACGAGGACGAGGGCATGGACGACAGCGAGGAGACAGCAGGCCCACTTCGCGATTTGGTGTACCAGCTCGGGGCCAGGATGCGCGCCATCGAGCATCAGGGGTTCACCACCGTGCTCCTCGATCGCAACCACCCGTGCATCAAACAGAGCAACGCCGCTTTCCAGCGGTTTCTCAAGCAGCAGAAGGACCACCCCCAGCAGGACCACGCCACGCCCGCGTGCCAGAGTGCTTTCGCGGTTCTCGACGTGTTGAGCAGCTACGAATACAAGGATACCTCACAGCGGAGGGCCGCCTGCACGATGTGCATCAAGCGCCTCAAGAGGATGATCGAGGTCGGGGGCTCCACGACAGCGCAGACATGGATCCAGGAGATGGTGGCCAACCCAACCTACGACGCGCCAGGCAAGGCCCAGAAGTCACGCCTTACTTTCAGCCTCAAAGGACAGATATTCATGGCCGCGGACGCGGCGGATCACGAGAAGCTCATGGCAGCGCTCGATGGCGCCGACGACACGATCAAGCAGGTGAGTCCCAACGAGACCCCCACCACCATCTACCAGATGAAGGGCTACATGATCGACATCGACCTGCTCCTGGCGGAGCAGATGCGCGCGGCAGGAGGCCGCCACCTAGTCAACAAGGCACCGAGGGGGAACTTGGCCAGGCGCATCGGAGGCGGCAGGA